AGGGAGGGGGGGAGGGAGGGCATGTACCGGCTAAGCATGTGCTCGTTGGCGGCTTCCACATGGTGCTCTGTGGCCCCAAAAGCCGCTCCCGCCATCTCCTTGGCCTTGTTCAGGCTCCCGGAGACCCTGTCCATCATGTCCTGTTTTTGTTTCTTCAAGTCTTTGAACGCGTGCCGCATTTTGTCTGCGGGAGAGGCGGAGGAGGAGGAAGGGAGGGAAGACGCGGCTGGAGGTGTCGGGGGGGTCGACGCGGCGGCCGAGGCTGACATCGAGGACACCAGGAAAGGCTGAGAGGGCATGAGGAGGAAGGAAGAAAGCACCAGGCACGTACGCCATGGCGCACAATTTACTGTGGGGAGAGAAAGAAAGGAAAGGAAAGAGAATGGAGGGAGGAAAAGAGCAATTTTACCTTCTCTTCTTGTGTATATGCATATCCGGGCAAACATACGGGGAATAGGACTACAAGAGATAGAGAGCCTAGACAAACACTACCGTGTAGTAAGATTGAGGAGGGCGGAAAGATGGCAAGTAGGGAGGCAATCGAAACCTCTTATCCCCTACTATCCGAGGCTCGTCTTTTCCTTTCCTTCCGCACATTTCACCCATTCGAGCTCATCCATCGCGACGACACGTACCGGCATTGTGACGCCGATATCCTGCTGTGCCTTTTGCTTGAATTTTGGCGGACGGAGGGCGAGACATGAATGACATGAAGGATGGAGGTTGTCCTGCTGCCGGCGGACAAGTCTACACAAATATTGACGCTCTCCTGGCCCGATGTACCGAACCAATGGCACGATCACGCACACAACTGTGCTTGGATGATAAAAATGATTATGTGTGGGGTCTCCAAAGTCTTTTGCAAGCTCCTCATTCGTTGGCATGAGTCGGTGTCAAGTTGATGTGATACGTTTCGATACGCTGTCTCTGGGGGCTGTGCCGGCCGCGTGGAAAAACGCAACAAGAAGCCCGCGCAAACGGCCCGTGGCCGTGTTAAAAAACACCCAAGCATGAAGTGGGTTTTTAAAAATGGTCTTTACCGCTATAGTTGGATCACGTGCGCGTGTGCTTTTTTTTTTCTCCTTTTATCCCATTGTCACCTCGACGGCTGGGACGAGAGATAAAAGCGACATGGCACTCGCCATAAATTCAACCCCAACAAACCACACACGCAGCCCTGTCGCCCGAAAAAACGGGCTATTCACCAATTAGAACGATAACAGGCAGAACGTGATTGACAGCAAGAAAATGGCGGCGGAAAGTGACAGGTGTTTGCAGCATGTCCTCGATGACACCATCGTGTCACGGCGGTCTCGAGCTCTCTTCATACATTGCTTTTTATGGCTCATTTTTTGGGCATAGTCCTCCACCCGAGCCTTGCTTGGAATATTTCAACCGTCCTTCCAAAACGATAAATCTGGCACTAAATTTCGGGAAACGTGCGCAAAGCAAGAAAGACTTCACAGAAAAAACACAGAAACAACAACTATGCCCGAGAAATTTCCCGACGCGATTTATGGACACAGCGCTACCAAATTATTTACACTACATCTCCCTATATTTTCCCCATTGGACCTGACACCCGTGTATGAGGAAGTCTCTCCCCTGCTTTCCCTTGACCGAACCCTCTCTCATCACATTTTTGTTTGTGCCCCCGTCCTGGCCCGGCCCCCGGAGGCACGTTTAACCTCCTCACTCCTTTGCTGTCAACCACCTTCACTTCAAAACCCCCTCCCGCGTTAACCAAAAAGCGCTTTTCCATCTCCTGGTAGCACGAGTCTAATATCCCCAACGCCTCTTCCATCGACGGAAGTCTTTTTCCACCTCCTCTTTTCCCCTCTTCATCCTCTAATTGATGATATTGCTGATCCAGGAGGCCGGTCAAGAAGACGGAGGCTTCGCCATGGGCGGCGTAGGGAAGTTTTTGCAACGCCCCCAAGGAATCCAGCCAATACAAAGAGGGCCTTCCCATCTTTTGGCGACCCTCGCGCTTACCTTCCGCACCATTCCTTCCCTCCTCCTCCTTCCCCCCTCCTGCTGCCCTCTCCCACGTGGGCCCTCCCTCCTCCTCCATCATCGCACCCGTCCCGGTCCCCACCTCCTCCCAGCCCGCCACAAGCATCCGGACAGGCAGGCCCTTGTATTCTAGAAACAAATTTCGCGCCATGGCAGCCACGGCCCGCGTGCTCAACGGCCGCCGAAGTCTCTTTTCAAACAAGCGTTTCTCCGCCCCGAGGACCTCCGAGATGATCTCGGTGAAATACACGGGACCACCCAAAGCCAGGCAATGGTGCGAGCCCAGGAGGGGGAGTTTGTCGTGGTGGGAGTGGAGGAGGGTGAGGGACCGACTGAGGACGGGATCTGCGGCTAGGAGGACGAAATCCTCCCCCTGCAACCCAACCAGAGTGTCGAGTTGCGCAACGAGGAAAGGCAGGTGCAACGCCAAGGTGAGCAAAAGAAGCCATGGGCGGAACATCAGGTGGAAACTTCCTCCACCACAAGGAAGCAGCCAGCTACGCAGATGCTGTGCAGGAAGGAAGATGGCGGAGTGGGAGAAGGAAGGTGATGGTGAGTAAAAGAGGCTCATGACATCGGACGATAATCAACCCGCACATTGAATCTTAATAAATATTAAGGTGGAAAATGCATACTCTTTTGCGGGACCAATGCATTAAAAGGGGAGAGAAGCCTCGTCAGAAGTTGATAGGAGGAGGTTGAAGGACATGAGGAAAGGGGCTGATGCCCCCTACCGCTGTAGAACTCGCGCCGAACAAGAATGTAGGTCGAAATAAATGTAATAGGAAAATTATGTTTATAAACGGCCATCAAGCGGAAGATCCATCTGGCCTGTGAGAATGTGGTTACACGATCGTAAACCCCTTCTCTGACTTTTTCTTCCACAAGGAGGAGACAGAGGTCAAAAGACAAAATGTGCACACCTATCCCCCCTCAAAATCACACAAGGAGTCATCGTTTCTTGTTAAGGTGGACGTCCGCGTGTTGCATACATGCATCGTGTTGTTTTGGGGCTCGTTTTGGTTTCTGAAGGTGGTAAGCCCGTATGGAGAGAGGAAACAGCGAGCTGCTTGCCGACCTCCCCCAATGCCCAACGTTTGATGCTGACAACTTCAAGAAAAGGGAACACCACACTTGTAGGAGTGCATGCCTACCTCATGCGTAGGAATATGGCGAGTGTGTGGGGGTTGTAGTGCCTGTGGTCCCGGGTTTGTGTCTTTGTCGAGGGCATGATTCAGTCCTGGAAGAGGGTTGCCAGGTTACCTAGGGGTTAATAGAGAGTCCTTTTGGATCTCAATAAAACGCAAGTCTTTTTCCATTTTAGAAGTGAATCCAACCATTAAGGGGTTGCCGACACACTTTGAGAAAAGTGGCACAGCTTTGATGGCGTGCAAACGTCTAGGCATGCTCAAACAGTGTACCTTTCTTTTGGGTGAGACCGCAATTCAGCAATCCAGCTGCGCTTTATCTTACTGGTTGACACAACCCTACTCTTTCCAATAATCAACCCCATGGACTGTGGGCACAGGCTTCTTCCTAGCCGCGACAACCTGACCGCAATGTCTGGGCGTGGAAAAGGTGGCAAAGGCTTGGGCAAAGGGGGCGCGAAACGGTACGCAATATGCTGGGCTCGAAAATATCCGCACGTGTTTTCCTGTGTAAAGTTCGGTCCATGCCGAGGCTGTGCGTCGAGTGCGAGCCGACTCAGGGCGAAAAAAATGTGTGTGCATGTGCCTGTATCTTCAAAATCCCGCCAGGTGCGGTCAGGACGTGCTGGTGGAGGTATCGCGCCATGTCTGGGTACACTGGAGCTTCCCACTGGTTGCTAAACAGCGTGAAGGTCAAGCACGACTCACCGTTCTCATCCTTCTCTATCCCTCTGTGGATTACACGGTACAGACATCGGAAGGTCCTCCGCGACAACATCCAGGGCATCACCAAGCCAGCCATCCGGCGCTTGGCCCGTCGGGGAGGGGTCAAGCGCATCTCGGGTTTGATATACGAGGAGACACGGGGGGTACTCAAGGTCTTCTTGGAGAACGTGATCCGAGATTCGGTCACGTACACAGAACATGCCCGGCGCAAAACCGTGACGGCCCTGGACGTCGTGTACGCC